CAGGAGACGCTACTTGCAGGATATTTTCACTACGCTCGTCGATGTGCAGGTAAATGTTGTTGTTTTTTTATCCTTTTCTTTATCCAGTTTTGTTTTGTTTATTTATTTTCTAGTTGTTATTGTTTATTCTTATTTTGTCAGTTCTTTATTTCATTTTTTTTATTTTTTGGGACATTTGTATTACGCTCGTCGATGTCCAAGTAAATTATTCTTGATTATCCTTTCCTTGATTTCTTTTTTTTTCTTTTTATTGTTTGTTTCATTTAATATGGTTTTATTTATTTGTTTAATTTTAGGGATATTTTTATTACGCTCGTCGATGTGCAGGTAAATGATTCTTTTTTATATCTTATGAAATAGAAATGGCTTTTTTATCTTTTCCTTTATTTAGTTTTATTTCATTTTATGTCTTTAGTGTTTATCTTAACAGTCCTTTATCCGTTTATCTATTTTTATATTTTCATTCAGGTCGTTGATGTGCAGATAAATGCAGGTTCCCTTTTTTCTGCACTTCAACTGATTTTTTGCAAATTTGTTATTTTGTATATTTTTTTTTTTTCACGTCAAGATATACCGGTAATTATTAATGGCAAACTCCAATCAACGCCGAAATCATGGTTCTAGCGTAGCATTCCTACCCGCAGTGACACTGGCAACTCGCCCCTTACCCTGAAGTATTCCGATTCGATTTTGTTTTTGTTTTTTAATTACCTGGCATTTGATGCTTATGTTTACAATATGGTTGGATTTTAAAGTTTATTTGCAATGTTTTTGTTGTTGTTTTTTAATTGAAATATGCAGACTTCAACACCAATTTCTCGTGAAATAGATATATCGAATCGGAGTACTCCATGTTCCGGGTTGCCAGTTGTTGTTTTTCTGAAGTAAGCGCAGTATAGTTATCTTTATCACATAGTTATTAGTTGCCCAGTTATCATAAATCCATGACACATCACAATGATAACACATTCACCATCGTAATTAACACTGTTATCACACACTTTAATTAATATTCAGTAATTACACACCATACTCACACGCTTTGTTTATGACACAATTACCACACAACTTAATTGCCATTTATAGTCACCAACACAACACAGCTACACGCCTACAATACTGCAAAACCATCACAACCAGACGCACCACATTCACCACACTTCCCAAACAATCCTCACCCAACCCATACACCACAGTTACCACTCCTCCCGTCCCTCCCATACAACCACCACACACTCCCCGCACGCCCCACAATCACCCCACAATAACCATACTCCCCGCACACCCCACAATCACCACACTCCCCGGCACTCACAATCACCACACTCCCCGCACTCCCCGCACACCCACAATCACCACACTCCCCGCACACCCACAATCACCACACCACCAAATCGCCCCACAATCACCACACTCCCTCTCCCTCCCCCACAGTGGCGGTGGACCCTGCTGGTGTTCGCAATGTCCTTCATGATGTCGTGGCTTGTCTTCGCCGTCATCTGGTACATCATCGCCTACACACACGGAGACCTCGAGGAAGCGAATCAGAGTGACAAAGGGTGAGTGACAGGGGAGGGGTGGGTGGGGGAGAAAGGGCGGGAGTGGGGGAAATGGGTGGGGTGGGGGGAGAAAGGGTGGGAGTGGGGGGAGAAAGGACGGGAGTGGGGGGGAAAGGGCGGGAAGTGCGAGAAAAGGGCGGGAGTGGGGGGGAGAAAGGGCGGAGTGGGGGGTTCGGGAGGGTGGGGGAAGAAAGGCGGGAGTGGGGGGAAGCGCGCAAGGGGGAGAGGGGGGGTGGAGAAAATAAAGCGGGGGTGGGGAGAAAGGCGGGGGAAGGAGGAAAGGGCGGGAGGGGGGAAACGGGGGATGGTAAGGGAACAGAAAGGGAGATTAGGAATAAGGTAAGGGAAGAGGAAATTAGGAAAAGGAAGGGGGAGGAAAAGGAAATGGAGGGAGGGAATAAGAATGGAAGAGATGAGAATGGGAATGGAGAATGGTTGGGAAGGTGCACGGAGGGAGGATAAGCAACAGAGAAAGGAAGAGGATTGTGAAGAGAATGGAGGGAATGGGAACCTGAGGGAGGGATTGGAAACAAGGGAGGCTGAGAATGGAGAAAAAAGGAGATAAGTATCAAGAATGGGAGAAGTAGGAGAAGGGAAGGGAGAAAAACAGAAAGACAAGGTCAGACGGAGAGTCGCATATATAAGCAAATAGAGTGAATGCTAAACAAAGCAAGTCAAGAAAAAATGAAACCGTAAGAGCAAGGAATAAAGAGTAAATGTAGTAAACTTCTTAAAACGCAAGAATAACCCTTTAATGCGCCTCGTTCCCCGACCCCTTGGCAGCTGGACCCCCTGCGTGGTAAACATCTACAGCTTCACGTCCTGCTTCCTGTTCAGCGTCGAGACCCAGCACACCATCGGCTACGGGTCGCGGCACACCACAGAATACTGCCCCGAGGCCATCATCATCATGTGTGTGCAGAGCATCACGGGGGTCATGATACAGGTAGGGAAACGGTGTGCGTTCCATGCAAGTGGGATAGGTCGTGTAAATATATGCAAGTGCGTGCGTGCGTATGTGTTTATGTGTTACTATTACGTGGATTTGTGTGCACCATGATGTAATAAAAATTACGAAGCACATTTACGACTACTTTGACCCCCCCCCTCCCCCAGGCCTTCATGGTGGGCATCGTGTTCGCCAAGCTGTCGCGGCCGAAGAAGCGCACGCAGACGCTGCTCTTCTCCCGCAACGCGTGCCTGTGCCTCCGCGACGGCGAGATGTGCCTGCTGTTCCGCGTGGGCGACATGCGGAAGTCGCACATCATCGAGGCGCACGTGCGGGCGCAGCTGATCCGCAAGCGGGTGACGCGGGAGGGCGAGGTGCTGCCCTTCTTCCAGTACGAGCTCGACGTGGGCTACGACATCGGCGAGGACCGCATCTTCTTCATCTGGCCCATGACCATCGTGCACAAGATCAACGAGAACTCGCTCTCCGGCGGCGCACGACCTGCTCAGGGAGAAGTTCGAGATCGTCGTCATTCTGGAGGGCGTCATCGAGTCCACAGGTTCGGGACATGTTTTCGTACTGTCATTATTCTGTTATGTCAAGCTCTTCGCATGTTAACGGTGTAAGTGGATAGATAGGATGATAGATAGACAGGTAGACACATAAAGAAATGAATAGATAGACAAAGTATCAGAAAGACAGACAGATACACATCAGATACCTGTTTGCAAAGGGACATGAAGTGTTGGAGCTCTGCCAAGACAAAGTCCCGCGTGTTTTAAGGCAAGCGTGCAGACGAGAAGCCTGCAATGCCGCTTCACACCGTCCTTTTTCCCCCAAGGATCTCTTGCCCTAAATTCGATCCCCCGAAATCTTTTCCCCAGGAATGACGACCCAAGCGAGGTCCTCCTACCTGCCCAACGAGATCCTGTGGGGATACAGGTTCGAGCCGTTGGTCACCTTCAACAAGAACACGGGCCAGTACGCTGTGGATTATTCCCTCTTCAACAACACTTACCAGGTCAACACGCCGCTCTATTCCGCAAGGGAGCTCGACAGATTAAACAGCCAAGAATCTTCACCAGGTGCGTCGATTTTCTCTTGGCTTTCAGGGGTTTTCTCTCCAGCTTTCTTCTATTCCTGTTTTTCTGCGCATCCTCGCCCTCCTTCATTTCTCTTCTTTCTTGTCCCTTTCCCCCTTATTTTTTCTCTTTCTTCTTTCCTCCTCATCTTTCTCCTCCTTCTTTCCTCCTCATCCTTCTCCTCCTTCTTTCATCCTCATCCTTCTCCTCCTTCATCTTCTGCTTTTCCTCCTTCTCCCCTCCTCCTCCTCCTCCCTCCCTCCTCCCCCCCTCCTCCTCCCCTCCTCCTCTTCTCCTCGACCTCCTTCTCCCTCCTCCTCCACCTCCTTCTCCTCCTCCTCCTCCTCCTCCTCCACCTCCTTCTCCTCTCCTCCTCCTCCACCTCCTTCTCCTCCTCCTCCTCCTCTTCTCCTCTCTTCTCCTCTTCGCCCCCTCCTCCTCCCCCTCCTCTTCTTACCCCCTACTCCTCCTCCACCTCCTTCTTCTCCTCCTCCTCCTCCTCCTCTCCCACTCTCTCTTTCTCCTATCCCCCCATCCCAAACCCTTCCTCCCGCTCTCCCTCCTCCACCCCCTCCCCCTTTCCCACCCCCATCCCCACCTCCACACTCTTCTCCCCATCCCCCTATCCCCCTACTCCTCCTTCTCAATCATCTTTTCATCTTCCACCTCCTCTTGCAGCTCCTCGTTCTTCTTCCCCATTTCTTTCCCGCAGTCACTAAATCTGTCTCTTAATGTTTCTTAATGCAGACAGAAAGCGGACTCTGCTGGCACTCGACAGGGGTAAGATGGGGGCAGAAAAGTGTCAGGGTTGCTAAGTTTATTTCCCAATGCCCTAAGGAGAGAAGAAATAAAGGTCGGTTTGGCATTGACGGTTGGATGGTAGATAGAGAGAGGGGAGAAAGAGATAGAAAGAGAATGAGGGAATGAGAGAATGAGAGAGACACTGAGCGAATGAGAGAATGAGAGAGACACTGAATGAGAGAGACACTGAGAGAATGAGAGAGACACTGAGAGAATGAGAGAGACACTGAGAGAATGAGAGAGACACTGAGAGAATGAGAGAGACACTGAGAGAATGAGAGAGAGAGAGAGAGGTAGGGAAGGTAAGAGAGGAAGAGAGAAGGTAAAAGCCAGACAGACAGACAGAGAGCGGGAGAGACTGCAGAACGTGATTCAGCGGGAAGTCCTGTCTGTGCCGCCGAGGCCGACCGCTGCGCCTCCCTAGTCAGCCTCGAACGGGAGAGATGGCGCCATGTCCAACCTTGAAACTTGAAGGGATGTGCGGTCGAGTGATAGCAAATAAAACTCAGGCTTGACAACCTTGGAGTCTGCCTCCTAATTGCACAGGATGTTTTCAAAAGAAGGATGAAATGAACATACTTTTATTCACTGGCTTTGGAAGAAGCCTTT